ATATCTCTCTCCTACTGGTCCCAGCAGCTGGTAACATGTCTGATCACTCCTGGGGGTTGACAAGTGGTGATGGGTGAATTCTGGGTTCCTCCTGGCTACCAGCCTGCTTCTGAAGAGAGGCACTGCCCTCTCACCTTTACCTTTTAGCCCAGTAGTCTTAAACCCTGACTGATTTTTTCCATCTTTTTCATACTAGGAATTCAACCCATGGGTGCTCTATCCCTGTGCTACATCCCCAGCCCTTTTAATGTTTTATTTTGAGATAGAGTCCTGCTAAATTTTGAGGCTGGCCTTGAACTTGTGATCCTCCTGCCTCAGCCTCCTGAGTAGCTGCGATCACAGGTATGTGGCACATGTCCAGTTCAGGCTGCACATTTTAATTACCTAAGAGCTCTTTTTGCCTGCCCCTCAAAGTCTGATTTTTGGGTGGGGTTCAAGCATGGACCTTTCAAAGCTCCTGGTGATTCTGTACAGGCGAGTGTTCAGCATTGCTGCTCTGGGTTCCGGGAGCTAAAGAAGGATTTGAGGCACAGGAATGGGTGTCCCAGGGAGTTTCCTAAGGTCCCTCTGTCTGTGGGGCTAGGACCAGGAGGAGCAGGTGAGAACGCTGTTGTGAGCATCCTGCTGAAACACCAGGAAGAGGAAGGGAGTTCTGAGGAACAACACTCATGGATAAAAGGCATTTTGATGCTGTAGACCCAGGAGCTGTCTTTGAGGAAGTTTATGGGCTGAAGTTAAGAAAAAAAATGATGAGCAATGCTGTTTGTGCGTGGGGCAGGGCTCTGTGCCTAAAGAGTCTTCACATCCCTCAAAACTCACATTTGGGAATGTTGGGGAGGGCAGAGGAGGACTGATAGGTTGGACAGGAGAAGAGGCCAGGGCCAGACAGGGGCCCCCACTGCATCTGTCTTGAGGTGCCCTACCACTGGGCCACCAGTGTCTGCCTCTCATCTGCAAAGTAACTGAAGATCCAAGAGGGGAAAATGCTCATCTTGAATTATGATTCTCATTAGTTTCAGGATTTTTCTTGTGGTTGGCTTTATTCTGCTGTTTGTTTAAATAACCTAAATACATAGCTGTCAAGAATAGTAGGCAGGTAAGAGCACAGAAAGAGGGTGTTGGCCTAGAGGGAGCCCATTACCTTCAGGTTGGACTCTGGGGTACCTGTCCACCCCAGCTGGAGTGACTCAGAAAAGCCCATCCAGAGGTGATAGCTCTGGCTTGGCACCTCTTCTTCATGCAATGGGAGTAGAAGGACCTTTACTGGGGGTGCCTAAGGCTTTCCCAAACAGCAGGACTTGTAAGGCAGCTAGAGGTTGACATAGGCACCAGGCCCTGGGCCTCTCCCCTCAGCTCAGCAAAGCCTCAGGAGGTCTGGCCGAGAGCCAGTGAGGAGCTGGCTAGACCTCCCCACCCCTGCAGACCCCCAGACCTTTATCCTGGATTTACAGACCACTGCAAATCTGGGATAAAGAACATTCCTGGGGCAGGGGATATTTCCTCATTGTGAAAGGTAAGATTTCATTTTAACTTTCCTCCATCTGTTCTACATTTCCATCAAAACATAATATTGCCACCCAACCCTGAGGGAATGCAGCGAGGTTTAGTTAACAATAATATTGGCAAAAGAGTCTGTTCAGGAAACTGGATCCCTGCTTAGCTTTCCTGAGGTTCCACATGTTGCCCCATCCTGAAGGACCAAGTGGGAGAATATTTTGAAACCAACTTTTTGTTAATCTTTGGAACATCAATTTTAGTATACATTTGTGAGAAACAGAAATTTATAAGGAGCCCAGGCAGTTGGTTGCCACTACATGTGCCCTGTGAGAGGGGAGTCTTTCAGGTCAACCTGCAGGACACCAAATCAGGAGCTCTGATCGCCATGAAGGCAGAAAGATCTCTGGTAAAGCAAATTTGTGACAATTATAAAAGCTAGTGCCACTTTTTCTTTTCTACAAGATGGAAGAGAATAATGTAACAGCAAACCCCAACAGTGTTGTATGGTATTGAACACACAGTGCATCTGCATGTAACATTGTGACATCACCAGCTGAGGGGTGGGGATGGAGAGGCACAGCAGCAGCATTCTCTACACTACCGAAGTTGCCCTGCTGCAGATTTGCATCAGGGTGGTGTTCCTTTCTCCTATTAAATGGAACTCCCAGTGGGAACCACAAGAAATAACTATAGGACATAGCCACAGTGAGAGGTACAAAAATTAAAATGTTTCATCACATATATCAACTGAACAGAAGAGAAGATAGCCATAGAATGACAGAAGTCACACTGAATCAAACCTTGCCCTGCTCTGCTTCTAAGGACCCAAGCCAGGTTGAACTCAAGCTAGCCCCTAAGGACCTCATCTTAGGTAATCACACCATAATAATGACAATTCTGGGGGTAGGGGGAGAAACTTTTCCTTAGATATGGAGTTTTGAACCTACACCTGTCTTCTGGGGATAGAATTTAATCCATAACACTCCTTGGTCCTACTTACCTGAGAAATTTTATCATTAGGTGTTGAATTTGGTCCTATAATTATTCTGCACCAATCCATTCAACAATCATACATCTGTCCTATCACCTTTTCCTAGTCCCCTAGCTTTTCTCTCTATGAAATTACATTTATTTTACTATCATTCCTGAAGAATGTTTTCCAAATGAAAAATTTTGATTTTTAGTATGTTTTTCCTTTGGGTACTTCGAAAATGTTATTTTTACTGCCTTTGGTCTTGCGTAGGTTTGGATAAGAATTCCACAGTCACTTCAATGGTTCCATATCTGTTAATAAGCTATTGTTTTCTTCTGGATGACTGCAAGTGTTTTCCTTCATCCATGGTTGGTTAGAGCTCTCCATGTGTCTGGGCATGGAATCATTGAGTTTCTCCTGCTGGGGTTTGCTAAGCTGTTTTAATCTGTAGATTCGTGTCTTTCATCACATTTGGAAAATTGAGACATACTTATTTTCTGTGCCATACTCCAAGCTCTCATTTGGGATCTCTGATGACACTAATGCTAGGCCGTCTCATAGGTCACTGAAGTTTTATTTATTAAGAATAATAGTAGCAGCAGCAGCAGGAGAAACAACAACACAAAACTTTCTTCTGTTTTTTTTGCTTTGAGCAAATGCTGCTGATCAGTCTACAGGTTCACTTATATTGGATCTCCTGGATGACCTAAGCACAATGACTCCCAGGGCCACAGTCTTGCTCTCATTGAGCACACTGAGGCCTACTTCTATTCAGGGTCTGTGAAGATGGTTGCCACTTCTGGGTTTCTGGACAGCTAACCATGAACTCCTCTGACTTGTGGATGTGGCACTTACCCAAACATCCATTCTCTCTTGGCTGCACTTGTCAGCAGCAGGCAAGAAGAGGCTGAGGAAGTGGTGAACCAAAGGAGGCCTCAGGGAGAACAGGCATTTGGGGACAACGGTGGGCAAGTGAGTGTTGGCTATAGGAATGGAGCCCATGGTTTTGGGCTACTTGTTGGCAGGGCCTCAGCATGAAGGGGCTCAGCCTTCACATAACTGTATAATGTACTGCATTAAAAGGGCTGTAAAACAGCCCTTCTTTCTCCCACCTCTCAGACAGGAACTGTTACCATGTGCACCATAAGAAGGCCAGTTTCCACTTGTAGGAGCAACAGAGAGAAAACCTATTAGACAAGTCCCAGCCTTGCCCAGCACCAGGTCTACAAGAAGAGAGACCAGGAAGTCCTTCCTTTCCACCCCCCAGACAAAGGCACATAGGTGCACCAAAGGCATTCCTCCTCTAGCCTGCCTCCCTTCCCTCCTCAGACTTCCTGCATATCCACTGCAGCTGTCCTTCTGAGAGCCTGGCCCTGGGCTTCCTCCTTGGGCACACTGCCCCATTCCCCTCATCATGCCTCTCCTGCCTCCCAGAACCTTCAGGCAGCAATTAGACAACCCAGTCCCAAGGGCAAGGCTGGATCCAGACTCTTCCCTTTCCAGGCTGCACACAGTGTGCCCTGCCTCAAGCTGGGAAGGGGATTAACCTTAGGGGCATTTTCCATGCTCTTTTTGTTTAGAAAACTATATTCAAAGTCTTTACTTTTTAGAAACTTCTAAGCTGCTCATAATGTTACAAGTCTAGAGGCCCTCCTAGGAAATGGCAAACCATTAATAGGACAAATGGCACAAACTATTCCCATTTGTTTGTTTGTAAGGTATCCATCTCTGCCCACTAAGGGGAAGGGCAGAAAGAAACTTCCAGAGCAGCTCTGCCAGTCCCAGCCCTGTGGAGATGCCAGGGCTTAAAGGTGCACGAAGCCTCCCATCCTGACTGACCTGAGGGTTTCTCTTTGTTGGTGTGCACTTCACTTGACAAAATTCAGAGTCCCTAGAACCTAAAGAGAAGAGCAATTCCATGTGGGTGCACTTGGCTTTGATGTAAGTAGCAATCCTGAGATGGTTTAATATCTCCAGTCCCCAAATCCCGGGTGCTCAAACTCAGGGACCTCTAGCAGTGACCAAGAGGAGACTTGGGCTACAGAGGCTGCGTGGCATGTGGTGAAGCACCCAGTCACTGCTGCTGGCAGGTCTACCTCAGCCCACTGACCCCTTCTCCCTTGCATGCAAATGGGAACATGGAGATGATGTCACAGAACACTCTGGAGTCTCCAGTGTCTTGACACATGTGTCTTCTCCAACAGCTGCCACCCACCCTGATGCCCGCAAGCAGGATTCTTCGCAGCCAAAGCGATCAGCTCAAACAGACTTAAGGCAAGAGAGTCCCCATCTACACTGGCCCAAGGTGTTTGAGTCCCACTGTGCCTTGGCTCAAGGGGTAGGGATCTCTATTTACACTGAACAGTCCAGGCCTTGGGCAGCATGAGGGCTGCTGGACTCCTCCCTTGCCCTGAGGCCTCCCTCTTTTTCTCTTCCTCCTCCTACTTTAAACATGTTTACTTTTTAAATAAATCATTGGAACGTCAATCTTATCATTCAATTTGTGAGAAACAAATTTATTAAGAACCATCTCTGCTATGGCAAAGAGCAGGGCAGGGGGAAGTGTCTGAGGGAAGAGAGTCTCTGATGTCTCTGGCAGGTGGGGGCAGAGGAGAGTCCTGGTGGGTCCAGATGCGCTCCTGGCTGGAATCTGCACAGAGAAGCCTGAGCCAGTTGGCGCGCCTCACTTCTGAAGCTGTTGGAGTCTGCTTCCTGACTAGTGCTGGCGCCATGAGGTCCTGATGCTCTGGCTGGGGGTCTTCTGGCTGTCCATGGGTCTGTCTCGCGTGGGCATGTTCCCTAGAACCACTCTGTTGTGGAACCTATGGGGACTGTGGCCTGCGACCCTCAGAGCCACTCTGTTGCGGAAGGCGGGCCGAGGAAGCACGGCAGGCAGCAGCACAGTTGTTGCAGACAGGTGGCCATCTGCCTGGTGACCCCCCTCCAGCCCCTGCTTCTCACCTGGCTGCCCTGTGGAGCCACCCTGGGAGGCCAGAGGGTCCCGCTGGGAGGCTAGCTTGGAAGGGGGTGTCTTCATGTGGAGAAGGTGGAGAGGACAGACAGGCATGCTGGCACATGCGGTGTCCTTCTGCTCAGAGGGCTTGGCTTTATCAGGCAGCTGCTGCTCACAGGGAAAGTCAAGGGCAGGCTCACTGGGACACTTGTTGGGGTGGACGCTGGACGGATCCGCCCCAGGGACCTGGCGATGCCCATCCATCCCGTTATGCACAGCCTTGGCCCAGAGTGCACTGGCCGGCCCCTGGATTCTCTGGTGCTGGAGGAGGAGGTAGGTAGCCATGGCCCCATCAAATTGATGATTTGCCAGGGACAACCAGGCTTTGTACCGGTTATAACCCATGTCGAGCATTAAGGTCATGATGTTGGGGTCAGGCCGCTTGGGAGTGGCTGGCTGGGAGGGCTGGGAGGGTTAGATGAGGAGTCCTCGCCCTGGCTCAGCCACGGGGTGCCCCATTACCTGCTCTAGGGTGGGCCTCTCCGTGGGGTCCACCACCAGGATTTGCTGGAAGAGGCTGCGTGCTCCTTATTGGTGAGCGCCCTGAATGGCCTTTTCTCTGTCAACATAAAATAAAGAGTGATGTTCAGGCTCCAGACATCTGCTGGGGGACCCTCAAATTCCTTCCCCTGGATGATTTCAGGGGCACAGTATGGCAGAGTGCCCCTGAACCCATCCAGCTTCTGCCCAGGCGTGAAGCTGGTGCTCAGGGCAAAGTCGATGAGCTTGGGGTGGCGCACCCTGGAATCCACCACGAAGTTCTCAGGTTTCAAGTCTAGGTGGAAGGGGCCCCAGCACACCACGCCCTTCTGGTGGCAATATTGCAAGACGCACACCATCTCTCTGAACAGCCTTGCGGACCTTCACCTCCCATATGCTACAAGTCAGGGGGATGTGACTCAGGAGCTCCCCTCCATGTGCAGGCTCCATGATGAGGTACATGTTGTCCATGGTCTCCATGACCTGGAAGAGATGGATCATGCTTGGGTGTTCCAGGAACTTCAAGGAATCCCTAGCAGGGACTTGTCTTCCTTCTTCTTTCTCAGAACTTTCACCGCCACCTCGACCCGGGTCAGGAGATGGCGGGGCCCATCTTCCCTGATGGGCTGCCTCACCTTGGGCTCAGAACAATGGAACTGGCCATGTGTGCTCTCAGATCTCTGACCCGTGATCCCCAGGTTCACTTTTCCTCCTCTATGTTGTTCTTGTCGGGTGTCTTGGCCACAGCAATGGAAAAGCTCATTAAAACACCACTATATGTCACTGCTCCCAGCCTGACAAAACTACGTGTGTGTGTGTGTGTGTGCACGTGTGTGTTGGGGGGTGTGCTTGGAAATGAACCAGGTCCTTGCACATGATGGAGAAGCACTCTTAAGGTACACATCCCATCCTAGGGATGGTGCCCATGGCCTAATCGTCTCCTCCAGGCCCACCTCTCAATGCCATCATGTTGAGGCTGAAGGGTCAACAGGAATTTTGGGCAGACACACACACGTTCCAACCACAGCATCAGACAGACAAGAGCTCTGGGAGTTGGTCCCTACCAGATGTCCCCTGAGGGGAGGCTTTCAGATTGACCCAAAGGACATCAGATTAAAAATTCAGATCTCCATGAAGGCAAGAAACATCTCTGGTAAAGCAAATTCATGACAATTAAAACTAGGGCCACTTTTGTTTTCTACAAGATGCAGCAGATTCGTGTAGCAGAAAACACCAGCTGTGTTCTATGGTACTGAACACACAGTGTCTACACAGATAACCACTGTGACATCAGCAGCTGAGGGTGTGGGATGGAGAGGCACAGCAGCAGCAGTCTCTACACTACTGAATTTGCCCTGCTGCAGATTCACACCAGGGTCATGTGGTTCTCATGTTAAATGGAACCACAAAGAAAGGGAGCCACAGAGAAATACCTAGAGGACAGATTCCAGTGAGAGGTGCAAATACTAAAGTGTTTCGCCAGAAACATCAACTAAACGGAAAGAAGATGGTCACAGAATAGCTTAAGTCATACTGAATCAAAACTTGCCCTGCTCTCCTTATAAGGAAGAGGCCACACTGAATCAAGAGTCCACCCTGCTCTCCTTGTAAGGACACAAGACAGGCTGAAGGAAGAGCATATTCTAGCCCCTTATGACCCCATCGTAAGTAATTACATCATAATAATGCCACTTCAGAAAAAAAGAACTCATCCTTAGGTGTGGAGTTTTGAACCTACTCATGTCTTTGGGGGATATGATTTATTCCATAACATGCCCTGGTCCTACCTGTCTGAGAGTTCTTATCAATGGGGGTAGTATTTTGCTGCATCATTATTCTACATCAATCCATACCATCATATGTCTTCCTCAGCTTGTCCATAAAGTGCCTTTTGTAGAGATGTGTATCGACATTCATGATGGAATTAGGTCTGAAATTTTGGTTTCTTTCATGGTTTTATCCTGGCACCGTCTTTTCTGGGTTCATGGCCAGGTAATACCAGCTTCATGAAATACACTGTGAATCGTCCCCTCTGCTTCTACTTCCTGGAAATGTTCATATACAGCTCGTATTAACCCTTCTTCAAAGGTGTGGTAGAATTCTCAGTGATGTGGTCTCTGCCTGAAGATCTTTGTGGAACTTTTCCTTTTAGGAACTTCATTTCCCTGATGGTCACCCAACCATCTAAATGTTCTTGAGGTAGCTCCTACTTCTCCAGAAATCTTCCACTTCGTCCACATTGTATGGGTTTGTACAGTGTCATTGAAGTTAGTCTTCATGTTAATTTTTTTCCTTGTGCTGGTTTTGGGTTTATTTTCATCAGCTTTTTCTGTTTCTGAAAGTGGTCATTTAGATTATTGATTTGAGAACTTCTCCTTGCCTAATGTAAGCATTTGGTGCTATGAATCTCTAAGCAATGTTTTCATTGCATGCACAAACTTTGATAGGACATATTTTAGTTTTCGTTGGGTTCCAGATATTTTTCTCAATTTTCCCTTTAATAGTGAAAACATATCTTAAAGAGCTTAAAAAGATAAAAATAGCCTCTTCTATTTACCTGTATATTTGTTATTTATTTTTCTCTTTATCCCTGATGCCCAAGTTTCCTTCCAGTATGATTTTCTGTCTGTCTGAAGGGCCAATGATTATTTTAGCTAACAAGTCTGCTGGCTCTTAGCTTTGCTTTATATGAAGATATATTTATTTTTCCTTCCTATCTGAAGAACACTTTTGGTATACAGGATTTTGGTTTTCCTTTGTTTTTTCCTTTGGGCACTTTAAAAATGTCACTTCACTGCCTTCTGTCCTACCTAATTTCTGATAAGAATTCCATAACCACTTAAACGGTTCCATGTCTAACATTAAGGTATTATTTTCTTCCAGTTGACTTCAAGTGTTTTCCTTCATCCTTGGTTCGTAAGTGTTCTCAATGTGTCTGGGCATGGACTTCTTTGGGTTTATCCTACCAAGGTTTGCTGAGCTGTTTAAGTCTATAGAATCATGTCTTTCACCACATTTGGAAAATGGAGCCCTAATTTCTTTCTGGGCCATACTCTACCCTCTCATTTTGGATCCAAGACCAAAATGAGACCAAGTACAGATCCTGAAGCTCTATTTAGTAAAAGTCACAGCAGCAGCTACAAACTTTCTTGTCTCCATTCTTTGCTTGGAGCAAACTCTCTTGATCCTTCAGGTTCACTACAGGGGGCTTCCTGGGTGCCCACACAGGGCAGCTCTCAGGGCTTCGGTCTTGTTCTCACTGATCACTGAGGCCTGCTTCTGTTCAGAGTCTGTGAAGATGGTTGTTACATCTGGCTTTTTGGACTGCTAGCCCTAAACCCCTCTGAGTTGTGGACTTGCACTGACCCAAACATCCTTCCCACTCTCCCCATGACAAGGTGCCTTGTTGCTATGTCCTCACATAATGGGAGGTGCTCAGTGTTGAACATATTCACTCAAGCCCTGCTTTTGTTTGTTTCATTTTGTTTTGTGTTTTTTGGACAAACTGGCCATTGACACCAGGGCCTCTGTGTTTCAGAAAAGTCCTCTACAACTAAGGTACTTTCCCAGCACTTTTAATTTTTATTTTTTAAGCAGGTCTCACTCTGTTACTCGGGTGGGCTTCCATGTGTGATTCTGGCCTCCTCTCCACCTCTGCTAACACTGTCCCTGCTCAGAACCTATAACTAACACTACTCCTTCCATCAATCAGCAATGGATCTTGGGGACAGTATAACAGTGGCAGATTGGGAAGACACCTTTGGGGTGAATATCAGGTATGAGGAAAGCATGAGGCAGGCTCTGGAGCCTCTCTCCTCTTTTAACTCTGAATTAATAACTTGGTTCAAATTTCTTTTATAACTTTGCCACTGCATTAAGAAATAAGGCCCAACTGCGCACAAAATTTTAAATTAAGGGTCACATCAGATGAGAAAATAGAGGTTATTAAAATGTGCTTTTTAGGAACTAAAATGTCAAAGTAATGAGGAATATTGAATGAGACAAGACTAAATGGGCTATAATTGTCAGCTAAGCAAGTCATTAATTGTCATTTCATGGGCATTTTTAAAAAGCCATAGCACATTTGAGGACAGGCAGAGGAGTCAGCAGAGGAAAAACTCTTTCGTGTGGGAACTGGTTTGTTCTTTCTTTAAAGCTAGTATTGGTCAATTATCTCAAGGGCTAACCATCTCAGAGTGAAAAAATCAATATGCACCAAGGCAATTATGTTCTGCACCTCTTGGTACTGAAATGGCAATGAGTTTTCATGGCCCAATTAACTTTTAACTTAAAGCAATAACAGTTAGTCTCTATTTTTTTCTGGAATATTTATTCACAACAAAAAATATGCAAGCTATTTTGAATTGTTTTGGGGAATCCTCAAAGGATAGGCAGAGAGTCAAATATCAGTGACATGATATTAAAATGTTACTCTGATGTTTATTCTTGGGACACAGTATTCAGAAAGAAAAACTATGTACCTGAAGATAATCACAGGCATCAAAAAACAAATTACAGTCCTGTAAAAAGGGGAACAATTATATGTCTGCTGCACCTAGGCTCACACTCCTTGCTGTTCCCATGTGCCATGAGCTCCACATTGCTCAGTGCAGCCCTTAACTATCACCAGGATTTGACACAGCTGATAGCTGTCCCTCCAAAATGGTCAACACACCCCTCCACCCCAGACCAGGAGCTCACAGGAAAACAAATTCACTGTTTCTTCTAAGTACTTTGAGTTTCTTTTCTTACGTTTAAATCTTTAATCCATTTTGAGTTGATTTTTGTAACCAGGGAGGGAAGTGGGGCCAGTTATAGGTCCTGAAGCTCTGTTCATTAAAATCACAGCAGCAGCAGCAACAACAACAATAAACTTTCTTCTCTCCATTCTTTGCTTGGAGCAAACTCTCTTGATCCTTCAGGTTCACCTACGTGGGGCTTCCTGGGTGCCTACACAGGACAGCTCTCAGGGCTTCGGTCTTGTTCTCACTGATCACTGAGGCCTGCTTCTGTTCAGAGTCCGTGAAGATGGTTGTTACTTCTGGCTTTTTGGACTGCCAGCCCTAAGCTCCTCTGAGT